CAAACACTAGGCAAGCACTCTACCCCTGGGTCAAATCCCTAATCTTTACCTTTGTATTTCATAAAATGTTTAAAACTTTTTTTTGAGACAGGTTTTCATTTGTAGTGCTGGCTGGCCAGGAACTCACTATGTAGACCAGGCTGGCCTTGAACTCACAAAGCTCCACCAGCCTCTGCCTCTACCTCTCAAGTGCCAAGATTAGGGATGTGTGCCACCACATCTGGCTCTAAAACTTTTTGTTAGTATGTATTCCTATATATAATAATGGGTTTCATTATGACATTTGCATACATGTGTATAATGTATTTTGTTCATACTCCTCCATACTTTCCTATAGTAGCTACTTTTCTGTTGCTATGGTAAAACACAAGGCAACTTATAGAAGGAAGAGTTTACTGGACTTATGATTCCAGAAGGATAAGAGTCCATCATGGAGGGGAGGTATGGCAGGAGGCAGCTGGAGCAGAAAGCTGAGAGCTCGCATCTTCAAGTGGGCATGAAGCAGAGAAAGAGACTGGAGGTGGGCCAGGCTGTGAACTCTGAAAGCCCACCCCCAGTGATGTGTTTCCTCCAGCAAGGCCACACCTCCTAGACCTCCACCAACTGGGGACCAAGTGTTCAAGTACTTGGAGCCAATAAGGGCTCATTTAAATCACTGTACCTCCCCTTTCCCTCCCACTGGTTTCTCCTTTTCCCAAATAGTCTCCCTTCTACTTTCATGTCTTTATTTATTTTGTGGTGATCCAGTGAGTTTCATTAACGTTGCTTCAGGAGCATCTGTGAGTGGTTCTTTACAGGATTGTGGGCATCTTTTCAGTGGCACCAAAGAAAATGCCTCTCAGCCAGGGGTGATAGTGTACCTTTTTGTTTTGTCTTTTTGAGACAGGGTCTCCCTGTATCCCCAGCTGTCCTGGAACTCACTATGTAGCCCAAGCTGGCCTTGAACTTGCAGAGATCCACCTGCCTCTGCCTCCCAAGTGCTGCGATTAAAGGTGTGTGCCACCATGCCCAGCGGTAGTGTACTCTTTCAATTCAAATACTTGGGAGGCAGAGGCAGGCAGATCTCTGTGAGTTCAAGGCCAGCCAGATCTATACAGGGAGTTCCAGGTTAGCCAGGGCTATAGAGTGAGATCATATCTTTGACTAGGGATGAAGGTATAGTTCATTAGTAGTGTGTTTGCCTGGCATGCAAGGCCCTGGGTGCCGGTGCCAGCCGGCCAAAATGGACAGTACCTGAAAGGGGGAGTGAGGATTGAAAGAAAGGAAAGGAGACAGAAAAGACGCTTCTTGGGAGGGCTCACAGTGAATACTGCCAGCCTCGGTTTGTTTCAGCTCTGTCTTTTTATACAGAGGAACTCAATTAGTTACAACTGCTGTATTTTCCCACCTGTATCTGAGGGTCAGGGAGCGGTCAGATCAAAGGCTTCTTGGATCCTTTTGTTTACCACTAATGCCTCAAGGTCAGGTATTGTGAGGCTCTCCAGAAAACTTTCCTCCTGAATGGGCAGGTTAAGTACTGGTTTGCATGACACAAACTCAGGAAATGAGGCTGCTGCAGCTCAATGGTTAGCGGCTCCCGACATAGCCCCCTTCCTTATATAATTTTAAAACCCCAGATTATGCCTATCTGGGACAGAAGGACCGTGCCTGGCTTAGGTTGTCTTCTGCCAGAGCAAAGCCTTACCCGTCATTGGCACGTAGCTTCCATCAGCTACGCCCTGTCTTAGGTTGACTTTCTCCCAGAAGATCTTACCCGTCTTTGACTACC